TGTCCATGCTTTTCATACCCTGAACAGTTTAAAGTATATATAGAAGTTTAAGTGTAAAGTTTATATAGAAATAATTAGCATGACGAGCGGAGTCGATTTAGCCATATCCGTCTGTCTGTCCGTCTGTAAGTACGCGAACTTGTCTCTCAGTTTTTGAGATATCAATCTGAATTTTGCATACATCCCTTTCTTTCCAAGAAGCTATTCGTTTTTCAGAACTGCCGATATCCGACCACTAGAGCATATAGCTACTATACAGACTGGACGATCAAAATCGAGTCCTTGTATTAAAAACTTTTTGATTTCGCAAAATATCTTCACGGAAATTCGCTTGACTTATTGTCCAAGTCAACGGTATAATACCCGAAATTGGGCCAGAACGTCCACTATAGCATATAGCTGCCATATAAACCGACCGAGCAACATCAAATTCTTGTAAGGAAATTTTTTGAATTCTGCATGTTACTCTAACATGGGTGCAACCGAAGTTAACGTATTTCTGGTTTTCTTTGATTTCAACAATTCAGTTTGCGTATGACTCTATCGTCAGCAATTAATGAGCTAAAATAACATAAAAATCAGCAGTCGCTAGTATTGCTAATTACGTCATATGAGAACTACTGCCTATTTTAGATTCACGTCTTCCAAAAAAAACCCCTTAAACTCTGTTTGTCTGAAGATTTTGTGCCTTTAGAAAAGGTCGTGTCCATCTTGCCACCATTTTCTATCTTAGGCAGTAGAAAAATATATTTTGTTTCAAACTAGGCCATTAGGAAGAAAAAGTGGCTGGCGCAGAGGTCCACACTCTAGATAATGCTGTGAAAGCGGAAGCAATTTCAAACAATTTTTCCATCATATTCATTGATCTGAGATGCGATACAATGCGCCGATCACGAGCATTACTTACTTCGCCCAAATTTGGGCAACTCAAAATTCAATATCTTATGAACTATGTAAAAGTACCAAACTTGTAAAATTCATACACGTATATTTGGAATGTTTGAATGTTTTTACTAAAATCAAGCATTTACTTATATAACACAGCTCTACAAAAAAATATAATATTAATTGGCTTGGAAATCTTATTAAACTTGGATGTTTTTAAGTGTCGAGATTTCGAATTTATTTACGAAAATATTGAATATGTTATATTTTGATGATGATTACTCGATGTGTACACGTTTTTCGCGCATATAAACATCACGGGATCCCGACTCCCAGGCTCAGGTAGGCAGGTTTTGATAAAAATCAAACGTGGAAATATCTAAACTTACAGTTTATAAAATTTGTTGTACTCAATGAAAATCTCCCTGTGCATTTGAAAAGATATTGGCATGCCCTCAGAAACAATGATGTCGCCAAATAAAAAATACAACTTTATGCTTTAGAAATTTAATACAAATAAAATTCTCAGAAGTCTCTTTTCTTCGATTCGCGTGAACTTGAAGAGTATCCACATTGGAGTGTAGCAACAATAAAGTCGCTCCAGATTCGTTGACCTTGTATGGAAAACATTGTTTCCCAATACTTTTAGCTCTATGTTATGAGAGTATTAAAAAATCATCGAAATTTAGAGCTAAATTATGAATTCGCAATTAAGACTTATTACCCGAAGCTCATAATAATATTCGCTAAAACTATAATTTATTACTATTTAATTTGCAGTGAAGGCAGCCGAAAATGCAGGTTTGATGAAGTTTTCCCAATGGGCTTTAGCACAAGTTGCGTCCAACGTTACACCTATCGGCCAATGATTGCACTCGTGAATGGCGAATTGAAGGAGGAATCAATAAAATTACCACATTCATGCAAATGCGTAATAAAATTTCAATTTGGAAAATTATGAAGTCTATCTTCAAAATGAAATACTCTACTTAGGACTTTAGAAATGACAACGGATTATGATGGTTAAATTTCTATATATAGCCGTGAAACAAATTTTGTGCAAATATTATATACTCATAATATAAATATATCGGTTTGGGGTAGTTTTACTACAGGAACAAAAACATATGTATTATAAAGTTTTAATATATTTTGTTTTTAGAAATTATAGTTTCTATATGTTTTAAAACCAGTTTAGTATTTATTTATATAGCCTTTTTCTTAGAGTAAAAAAAAATTCATTTTAAGCCCCTAAGGAAAGGCTAAGTACGGGCGTAACCGAACATTTTATACTCTCGCAAACTTACAAGAACCGAAGCCATTTCCGAATTTTAATAACATATCTGACAGGATGACCGATATTTTCGGTAAAAAGTTTTCAAATGGAACTGGGATCCACATATTCGGTATCTGGGAGCGTGAACCGTTTTATCCCGATTTAGAAAAATTTTGGTCATAAGGTAGCACATCTTAAAGGCACTATTCGCGCAAGGTTTTATCTCGATGCATTGCATATAATCATTGGTGCTTGAATTGTACACTAGAAATTGAAAGAATCAGATGGAATTTAATTGTGCTCTATGGGAAGTAAGCGTGGTTGTGGGGCAATTTAACGCTTAACATGGAAATATCAGAAGAATGTGGGCGGTGCCAGCTCATCGCTCAATTTTGACACCGGCTCCTATAAAGTCCTTTTGTACCAACCTGGCTGTAAAATATAATAACGAAAATCGTTTAATAGGTCTGCTGTTAATTACACCAGAATTTCTTCACTTTCGAAAGTGCACGTATTCGGCGAAGTCATACATATATAGTTCTGA